TCCACACTCAGGGAGACCACGTGGCAGTCAGGCCCCACTGCCAGTTCCCGGGGGAGGGTGGTGCCCACAGAGGTGGGCAGACAGCCGCGGGGATTTCCCACCAGCTACGATGGCCAAGTCCAAGCAGATGGGGCTGAGCCTGTTCACAAGGGCTCCGCTCTGCCTGCCCTTGCTCAGGCCCTGTTTACTCCCCTGCCTTCATCCCTCCTCTTGCTACTCCCACCCCTCCCTACAAACACACACAGGCACAGACTCCAAAGTGGCAGACAACTAACACTTGATCTTTTGGGCCACTGGAGCCTCCAGTTTTCTGTGGAAGATGGCAAAAAACCACACTCTGTTTCCACCCCAGCCAGCACCATTCTCAGCCTGAAACAAATACCCAAAGGCAATTATCCAGAACCCCAGGGCACAGATTAGCTCAGGGCAGTCATTTGCAGGCTTAATTATCAGAGGTGTTTAGAAACATTTCAGCTGGAGGGGGGTGGAAGGGGGGGAGAACATGGATGGATTTTTAATTTCTGTTGATTCTGAGGGCGCAAGCCCTACAAACAAGGCATTTTTTGGACTCTACCAGCTGCCCTGACGCAGGGGTCTCTTCTGTCTCATCGTAGAGAATGATAATTAAAGATTCTGAAGGTGAGAAAAACTCAACTTCATTTTGGATTTAAAATCTTTCCAAGATTTCTTTTGAAAAAGCCAATTAAATTGATTTAAGTTTCACTGTTTTTAAAATCCTCAAGGTACAGAAAACATAAATTCTGGCCAACACCATTTAAATTAAGTGTGATCAGGTTTCCATATATATTACATGAGAAGATTCCAAACCGGGGCTTGGAGGCCTCAGGGCTCTAACTGCACTTAATAGTAAGCCTGATTTAAGGATCCCTGGGGCACTGGCCCTACGGAGCAGTGAGGATCTCACCAGCTGACAAGCAACCTCAGGTTAAGGAAAGACGATGCGGAAATGGTGAGGGTTGGAAGGGCTGGGATCACAAATGCCAGGGCTGAAAGAGGGAGGTCTCGGAGCCCACCTGCTCCCATTCCCAGACGGAGGAGCCCAAGCGTGGTGGCTGAGCAGGCACCAGCACATAGCATATCAGACTCTGAGTGCTTCTTCCATCTCCTCCCAGGATCTTCGTTCCCTGACCAGGGACGTAACCCGTGCCCCCTTGCAGTGGAAGCGTGGAGTCTTAACCACTGGACTGCCAAGGAAGTCCCTCCTCTCTCTGTTAAATCAAGACCCCCAGACATAAGATACACCTTGTATGAAGGTGAGGGAATGAGGCAGGGAGGCTGCCATGAGTACCAGGGCAGATGTTTGCCCAAACCTCCCCCTTCCCCACACACAGCAGAGTAAAGGGCTCCACTTTGTCACTCTGGGGCAACCTGCAAGAGGATTACGTAAGGGAGAACAGCCCACCAGGCCCAGGAGTTATCGACTCATTCAGAGGCCTTGCAGGAATTTCCTGTTGTGTGATCTGGGTCTTGCAAATAACTACAACCAAGCCGAGGCTGTCACTCTCCTCTCTCTTAGAGGAAATGCGTGTCTTTGAGTCACCAGTTGCCGGTGCCCTGCAGCTCTCCAAAGACTGGGCCTAGCTCTGAGAATGCCCACAGGGAGCCAGCAGGAGGGTGTGCACTGAGAACGAAGGGTGGGCCAGCCCAGGGGGCAGTGAAATCCCAGCTCCAGGCTCTGGGTGAGCTCTGGCTCTGGCCAGAGGAGGAAGAGTCAGCAACATGGAGCTCTCTGTATCCAGGGCCGTGGGCCTAGTTTTTAACAAAAACCTACATGTGTTTCTGCTTTTCCTTTCCTTTTTAAATTTTTTTAAATTGTAAGACATATATTACGTACAAAGGAGTACATGCAAACACAGACACACTCCCTCAAGTGCAGCACAAAAGCAATGCAGCCCTCCAGCGGCAATCCCCACCCGTGTCTGTGTCCCCACCACTTCTCCGCTCCCTCCAGAGGCAACGGTCATGCTGGCTTTGGGAACCATCATTTCCTTGGTTTTCCTTATGATGTTCACCACTTGCGTATATATCCCTAAAGATTACATTTCCATTTTGCCTATCAATGCACATAGCTAGCTCCCCGTCTGCTCGTTTTATCTTTATATAATACTCAGTTAGATGAATATATTATATTTATCCATTCTGCTGTCTATGAGCATTTAGGTTGTTTTCAGTTTGGGCTACTACAAATAATGCCGTGACGAACACTCTTTAATGTGTCTCCTGGTCCTCAGGTGCTGGAGTTTCTTTATGCTGCACACCTAACAGGGAAACACCGCAGCACGAGAATGCGCGTTTCACTAGCAGATGCCAATCTGTGTTCCAAAATTATGCTGCCTCTCCCTCCCTGAAAGACACTGATAAACCCACTCCACTTATACAGAGGAGGGGTCACGGTGACTCGAGGCCAAGAAAACCTAGTTCATCACCAGACTGGCAAGTTAAAGCTGTATCTTGATACCTCCTCTGTAAGACAAAGCCCAAGATTTAAAAATTCTGAGCTGAGCCAGAACCAACAATCCAAATGGCTGGGCTTTCCACAAGAAAACATGTCACAAACTCCGCCGAATGAATGAAGTAACATCTCTGGATTCGGTGCAGACCCACCTGCCCATACTACTAAATATAAGCAGTAAGTACAAACGTGTCCCTGAGATACTCAGCACAGGAGGACTGCAGACGGACCACTCCCCATCTGCCGAGGGAGGAGGGGGAGCGAGGAGGGGTCCTGGAGGCCCCCCACCAGCTGCTGCCGCATACCTGTATACTGGCTGCATCTCCCTGGCTATGCCAATGACGGCGCCGGGCAGGAAGTTATCGAACTCCTCAAACAATTCCCGGATGTTGGTCTTGTACTTTAGGTCTAGGTCCAGCTGAATTATCCGCAGGATCTCTGGAGGAAAGAACAATACAATAATGAGACAGACACACATCCTGGGAGGCTCAGCCGCTGACAGAAAATGAAGTGGAAGGTGCAGAAAAGGGTACTGGATTATTCTTGCTGTCACTGAATAACGCAAAGACACTGCTTGAAACAAAGGCCCTTCATCTACCAGCAAGCCCCCACTCACTAGAAGCCTTCATAAAAAACAGTGCCCCCGGAGATTTCCTTCCAATTGCAGACATACAGTTTCTGTAAAACTAGGCAACCAGATCCTCCAGTTTAGGCCACTGCCCTGGTGTAATTGTCAACAGAGCACCATTTCATTCTCAAAAGTATCTGATTCAGATGATACAGTACACGGACACCCTACTGAAAACTCAAAGCATACAGGTGTTTCTCTTTGGGGTACAGGTAGTAAGTGACCCACAGAAGTCATTATTGCTTCAGGTTCTTATTCCTATATATTTCTGCAAACCTAGGTATGTGTGGAGTTAGGATGCTGACCCAGAGAAAAACAGCTAAAAGACCTCAGATGCTGTTTTGGGGGGTTTTTTTTTAACATCTTTTTTGGAGTATAATTGCTTTACAGTGTTGTGTTAGTTTCTGCTTTATAACAAAGTGAATCAGTTACACATATACATATGTCCCCATATCCCCTCCCCTCTTGCATCTCCCTCCCACCCTCCCTATCCCACCCCTCTAGGTGGACACAAAGCATGGAGCTGATCTCCCTGTGCTATGCGGCTGCTTCCCACCAGCTAGCTATTTTACATTTGGTAGTGTATATATGTCCATGCCACTCTCTCACTTCGTCCCAGCTTACCCTTCCCCCTCCCCATGTCTTCAAGTCCATCCCCTACGTCTGTGTCTTTATTCCTGTCCTGCCCCTAGGATCATAAGAACCTTTTTTTTTCTTAGATTCCATATATATGTGTTAGCATACAGTATTTGTTTTTCTCTTTCTGACTTACTTCACTCTGTATGACAGACTCTAGATCCATCCACCTCAGTACAAATTACTCAATTTCATTTCTCGAAAACTAGTTTTTAAAGACAGTCTTAAAAATAACCATATTCATAAGCATCATAGTTACTAGTCTGTCATAAGATCAAGGCCAAACAGTGACGCTGAGAAATCCTGGAACAACTGGATTAGTTTAGATCTATCCCTGAATTAAAGCTGGCTGTTAATTTTTTATTCCAGCTTGCAAAACTCATATCTAGTTTCTTGAACTGGACATTGTACACAAAGGGTTTTATTCTTTCTTCTAAGTTGTAATATGCATTCAGCTGAGGAGTATATTTCCCATATCCACTGAACTTTCCAACTCAAGTTACACTTCCAGTTTCCTCCCCCAATTAGTTTTTGTATACTTGCAGGGTCAGGTTTTGTTTTGTACCTTCCTTCTTTAAAAATGATAAACAGTACTTCTAGAGACAACTACCCTGTCCTCGTCACACCTACAGTCTGCCTGATGTGTCATTTGCCAGTTGAAATTACAAGTAACAATTGTGTACTGTAAATATAAAAATGTTTAAAGAGAATACTGACAAATAAGGTTTATAGAAATATCATATTAACTTAAGACTTGGCTATGGCTAAAGATGGGAGAACAAAATGTATTTGAAATTTGACAGAATTTTTACTTCACAATAACCTAATATTACTGATAAAAGTGAAGGGGCGGGCTTCCCTGGTGGCGCAGTGGTTGAGAGTCCGCCTGCCAATGCAGGGGACACGGGTTCGTGCCCCGGTCTGGGAAGATCCCACATGCCGCGGAGCGGCTGGGCCCGTGAGCCATGGCCTCTGAGCCTGCGCGTCCGGAGCCTGTGCTCCGCAACGGGAGAGGCCACAACAATTGAGAGGCCCCGGTATGGCAAAAAAAAAAAAAAAAAAAGTGAAGGGGCAGTTGAAAATAAGTAATATTGAAATAACTGTTAACTAGCTTATGGAATAATGTGTTCATAGTTAGCCAAAGATAGCAGATGACTAAAATGGTGCTCTGAAATTCTGACATGGCACTTACAGCTGCAAGTTGCTAGGTTACAAGCAAGGTGTACACAGATGGAAATGAACAAATAATATAAAAAGTCTATGTAGATAGGAGATTCATATTTTATTTCTCCAGTGACATATTTACAGTTGAATATAAATTAAAGGCGTGCTTGCATACCAAAGCCAGGTCCTTTAGGTGGTTCAGTCAAAGAGGTAAGACCTCCGGCTGGCTCACATGAGAAACGTCCACTCCTTGGCCCAGGTTTTGGGATTCTGCCAGCCTTGAGTTCATCAATAATTTTTTCAATATCCTTAGATGTCAGATCCTCAAAGTAGCTGTCATTTATTTGAACCATTGGTGTGTTTACACAGGCCCCTGAACATTCCACTTCTATAAGAGTGAAAAGTTTGTCTGGTGTAGTCTCTCCAACCTTTATACCAAGCTTTTTCTGAATGACCTCCAGGATGCTGTCGGACTTACGAGGCACACAAGGGAAGCACGCAAGGCGTAGTACTGCAGACTTGAACATGTTTTCCAACTGGCTTTCGGTTATACACTGTATAAAAAGTTGCTACTTCATATACTCTCATTGGAGGTACTTGTAAAACTTCTGCAGCCTTGCTCATAGCAGAGATGGGCAGCCATCCATTCTGTCTTTGGGCTAAATCCAGGACTGGAAGCACAGCTGCTGCTTTATGCCCTTCTGGGTAGTTTTTTACAATTGCCTCTATCCTCTTATAGTTTTCCGGTGTGAAATCAAATGGAGCATCTGGGTTATTCTCAGGAGTATCTCTCTGCACAAATAAGAGCTCCAGAGAGCTGGAGTTCTCTCCGGCTCCATTCTGCACAGCTGTCTTATGCAAATTCCTTATATGTCTTCCCCACTGGGCAGCGAAGCCAGCCGCGTGGGCCCAGAGCACCACGGAGAGGAACATGGCAGGCCAAACTGTGGGCCTTCGGGCCGCGCCAGGCCTACTGTTATGTTTTTAATCCACTGTCTGAAAGACTAACTGAGCTATAATTAGACAGACCGACTCTCACAATCACCTGGCTCTTAAGAGCTGTTTGCTTCCGTTGCCCCCAGATGACTCAGGGGCGAGAAGGGAGGAGAGAGGCACTGAGATCATTCTCCATCCTTCATCCAACAGGACTGTCTGAGCTCCTGGGCCAGTGGTGCCAGCAGGGGACCACACACCAAGCTGACTGGGCCCTGCCCTCAGGGAGGGACACTCAGGTGACTGAAAACAGTAAGGGGGGACCTAGTGCTGACGTGACATGGAAGAGGGTTAAGTGATGAAGGAGAAAGAGTAGTACTAAGAGAAGGCCTGGCCTGGGAATCAGACCACAAGGGAGCAGATTCCAGTTCCGCTGCTGCTTAGTTCTGTGACCCTGGGGAAATTATTTCACTTCTCTAAACCTTAGTTTTTTCATTTGTTAGTGCAGATGATACAGTGTGCCTCGTGAGGCTGTGATGCCGAGAAGACGAGATAACAGGTAGGAAACATCATCCAGGCTGTAGGCACCACAGGAACCCAGGGTCTGGAGAGTAGGGAACTCACTAGAGCCTGAGGCAGTTGAGGAAGACTGAACGGAAGAAGGGGACGTGGGCAGGCGAGGAGCAGTGAGGTAACAGCACCACCTACCCAGAATGCCGGGCTCCCCCAACTCTCCACCACCCTTTCACGGCGGCCCAGCTGCAGAGCACGGCGCTGTCAGGACCCACTGCCCGTGGAAGTCCCCTGAAGACAGGGACCCCATCTTCGGCATCTTGGCCTCCGTCCACTCATAGTGCGGGGCTTGGCATTCAGTAAATACTCAGGAACGTTTGTGGAATTCAACATTCTCTAGATTAGTTTATGAAGAAATCACAGCTTATGATTCAAGAAAACGGATTCATTTGTCTCTGTTCTACTTTCCTTTGTGCTGCAGAAACAAATCAGTAATTGACATCCCATATGAGTTTTCTGAAAAAAAATAAGTGCCAGTAGGTGAGAATCCAGCTGCCCAGGCCAGAGGGGAGCAGGCTGCTTCTTGGGCCCCTGTGGGAAGCGGGTAGATGAGAATGGGCCCCAGGCCAGTTCGGACCCGGCGGCCTGCCTGCCTTCACACTGCCCACCCCACACGTAAATGTGAGCAAAACTGCCACTTCCCCTCCTGCACTAAAGACAATAATCACAACTACCTAGAAACTAGGAAGGGTGATGACCCAGGAGCCTGGAGGTCAGCAAGCCCATGTGCTGACGTGGCTGCCTCCTAGAAGCTGCCCTAAACCGGGAAGGAGAAGAGAAATAGGCCACAAGGTGGAGTCTCGGGGCACCTGCTGCTGTCAGAGATGGCCCTGGAGAACAGAGGTAAGGAACCTGATGGTGACCTTAGGGAAGGCCACTGTGTCCCAGGAGAGAATGTCCAGGCATGAGTTGCAGCCATCAAGAAGTCATGATGGGGAGGCCCCACCGCACACACCCCTCCAGCCATTTCTCTCTTTCAGTCCATCTCCTGTGTCCCGAGCTCCCAAATCCAGGGTTTCAGGCAGCTCTCACACACGGTAGAGCAGAGACCTCATGAGACAGGGACAGAATGGCACCATCATCCCAAACAGAGAAATCACATCATCGCCAGGGGTGGGGATGGTGAGAGGACAAAAGGGTGTTTGATCTGGAGATGGGAGGCCTCAAGGAAGTATGGTGGTAGTTCTGTGGCACCATCAGGGCTATGAAAGAAAGGGAACTCTCATCCTCACGGCCCTGGGAGTACTTCCAATAATATCAGCGAATGCCACATAAGAAGCACCCTTTCTCTGAGTGGTTTATAAGTGTCTGGTATTATTATACAGGCAACAGTTTTATTTCTCATAACCACCCGGCATGTTAAATGGAGTTATTCCCATGTTTAAATGAAGAACCAGAGGCTTAGAAAGGTTAAAAACAATAGCCCAAGGTCCCACAACCAAGTCTCGGAGCTGGGATCTGAACCCAGGTCTGCTTGACTTGAAAGCCCAGCATGCTCTTCCCAGTAGACCCTGATTCTGCTTGTGACGGGAGAGGAGCTCCTGGGAGGTAAGTTTTAGCTCCACCGCTACCCACACAGGAGGCCTGGGAGCACGGAGATGTGCCAAAGACCTTGATAGACAAAAAGCAGAGCGACAGCCTGGCCAAATGAGAATTATGAGGAAGTCCTCTATATAAAAGCGGTAATTTCACTATAATTAGAGAAATTCTGATCGAGGGGCCATTCGGTCCGTCAATCAGTCATTCTTCCTTGAAAGCTTACCATGTGCTATGTGTACTCTCTGGTCTTTCAAGATCATCTAAATCCTACTTAATCTGCCTGAAGCAACCCGAATACCTCCTTCCCTGGCCTGCCTGGACAGGACCTGGGCAGAGGGCTGAGCTCAAGGACATCAGACTCCCTTGAGGAGACCAGTTAATGCATTTGGGCAGAGCCTGGCCTTGTCTTAATATGCCCCTCAGTAAATCTGAGCACTTTCCCAGACCTTTAGGGACTGGCTGGGAGTGAACTTGGGAAGGTGACGTGCAGCCCTAAGACACAGGAATTTGAGATGCTTTAATATTTTTTATAACTCCTCCTTGGCAAAGCACCTTTCAGGAAGGATTTGCTTAAGCTTGGGAAGACTTCTTTCGAGAGAGAGCCTTCGCCACACGAGGTTACCTGATTAGGAAGGAAAGAGGCAGCAGCTCCAGCATGAGGTGACCCCTTCACACCAATGTGAAAGGACTGACCCAGGTGTCAACTTTCAGGCTGAGGCAGGAGGACACTCCCTTCTGTTCAGGGAGGCCGACAGCTCCCAGCACAGCCTGCACTAACACACAGGCCTCGGTCCAGACACTTATCCTTTTATGTAATTGTGAAATAAGATGCCAAGTTGTAAATGTCGCTGCTGAAAAGAGGAAGATGCTTACCAGGAAGGCTGGAATTCATTAGGATGAGATTTTTTAAAGGGCCCTGTTCCTCTGGTCCTTGATATAGTCATTTCTGTGGGAACTACATCCGGCGCGTTTTATACATAATGCTGAGAGACTGTTTTGAGGATGAAACAAGGTTGATATGTGGAAGTAGCAGCCACAGTGATGGCCCAGAGAAGATGCTGGTTGGAGGACAGCTGTAATGACAGCAAGTAAGACCACTGAAATGTAAGGAATAAATGAACGAGATAACTGCTCCCAAAGAAAAGAGGAGATGAAATCTATAAAGCACTGGGGAGAATGTTTGAGCAAAAGGAGGAGTAGTAGTCTACAAAACGCAAAAAAAATGTCTCGCATCTCAGGCTGGTTGAATGTCCGCCATGTCAGAATCCCATGAGAAGAAAGCAGAAAAGGTAGTGGACAGAATAATCTAGGATAATGCATTTGAAAAGGGAACCTGATAATAACTGAGGCCAATATACCCATTTACAGATGGGGAAACTGAGGATCAAAGAAGCAGAAGGACTTGCCAGCGATTACACAGTCCAGCTAAGTGGCCAAGCTGATCCCAGAACTCAGGTCTTCTGACTCCCTAGCCAATGGTCTCATGTTAACTAGCCCCCCTGCCACCACCCACTCCCAGCATGGACCATGAACCCCTAGGGAGCAGAAGATACTGTGTAATGGCCCAAAGGGTTGTGCACAAGTCTTGCCAGGCACCCAACACAACTAGCTCATGGAGGATCCGCAAATTACCCGTGAAAATGTAAACCTGAAGATTAATAAGTAGTAGCCAAAGAAAAGAAAGACTTCCATGACCCACACAGTTTGTAGTCAACTTTTGGAAACGGGAAAATGGCTCTCCATATTCTCACATTAACCTCAGGCAGAGATGTTAAAAAAACAAACAAATCTTTACATTCTTCTAAGAACACACCTTGAGCTGTGCGAAATTCAAAGGGAGGCAGGAACCTGACTTAGCATCTCAGAGCCACCCATGGGGACTCAAGCTAAGCACCCCGTGCGAGAGCCATAGCGACCAGCAACCAAGCAATGTCCTCCCCGTGCCCACCATCCTCTGTTCTAGGCAGACCTGTGCATTCCCAGCAATGTGTCTGCTGCTACATTCAATCAGTTGGGTGAGGGGCATTCCGACCAGCCCCATAGACTTAAAATCTTCTCACAGACGTGTTTAAATCACAAAAGCAAGAACTGAAGTATCAGTGTGTGCCTAGGTCACGTTTTCAGGTAGAAGGAAGCTTGGCTCATGTGTTAGGAAGAGACCTGTGTGTGCACCTGGTATTTGAGGAACACACTTGTGGCTGGTCAACCTCCTCAGGTGAGTTCAACTCCCTGATGCTGGTTGCCCAGGCCTCTTGGTAAATGATGGAACCTGGAAGAGCTTCCAGCATTCCCACCTCATGGCTCAGCCCCTGGAGCTTTAAACGCTGGTTTCCACGGAGGACAATAGTTTGGCAAGAGCTCAGAAAATCTGACCTGGTCTATTTCAGGAAATGCAAGAATTGCTGCCTACAAGGTATAGAAGGTGGTTCAGGGTTCACACAGGACTGGTGAATGTGTGATCACAAGATAGGATCCACTGAAGTATGTCAACTCAAACTGGGAAAAGATGCTCAGGACCTAGGTGGGCTTTCTGGTCTAAGACACACTTCCTCTTGAGCTTCAACTCCAGGGGATAAAGTAAAAAATGTGGTGCCATCTTCACAAGAGGAGGTCAGCTCGCCTCGTCCTCTCATGCTCCAGTTTCAGGCTGACAACATGGTGCCACTGGGTTCTAACAAGTTGGAAAAGGAAAGACAAGATCCCAAGTGCTGGCTCAAAATGCGCTTTCAAGACCTTCAAATCCCCATTACCATCATCACCGCCCTGACCCTGGATGGCACTGAGGAGGTTCCAACTGCCCGGGTGATTGCTCTTGGGGTTCAGAAAGCCCACCCCCGCTGCTGTGTCTGAGGCCCTGAGCACCAGCCTGGCTGGGCTGTAGGGTTGATGCCTCCGCACAAGTGCACTGCAGAAGGCAATGTCCACGGCCTTAAAACCAGCTGGGAGGTTCCCAAGTC